CCTTCCTTCCTCCCTCCTTCCCTCCCTTACTCCCTCCCTCCCTTCCCTCCTTCCCCTTTTTTTCCCTCCAATTTGTATTGTATGTTTCCTTCCTTCCTTCCTCCCCACCCTTCCTTTCTTTCTTCTCATCTGCTCTTCCATTTCCTGAGGACTTTAGGTTAAAAGGCTAACTGGATTTTTTTTAATTGCGGTAAATTTACATGACATACACTCAACCACTTTAAAAGGTACAATTCAGTGGCATTTAGTACATTCATGCTGTTGTACAACCATCACCTCTAATTTCAAAACACTTTCATCACCCTGGGAGGACACCCCGGCCCCACTGAGCAGCTGCTCCCACTCCTCCCCGCCCCCAGGCCCTGGCAGCTACTAATCTGCTTTCTGACTCCCTGGATTTACCTAGTTTGAGTATTTCATGTAAATGCAATCATCCATCATGTGACCTTTTGTGTCTGGCTTCTTTCACCTGGTGTAATGCTTTCAGGGTCATCCACATGGTAGCACATATCCGTCCTTCATTCCTTTTTATGGCTGAGTAGCATCCCATTGTATGGATAGACCACGATTTGTTTCTCCATTTTTCAGTTGGTGGACATTTGGCCGTGGCGACAGTGCTGCTGCGGAGTAACTGGCTTTTAAACTTCCTACATTATTTCTCTGGGCCCCACGGATGTTGGGATTATCATTATCATTCACGTGGCGGTTGTTTATATCCTATCTTCATCTGCTGCATCATCACCACAGTGATCTTTCTCAAACACCCTTCTGTTGAGAAACATTTCATGGCTATCCCCCTTGCCCCTTCTTTTTCTCCCTCTTTTTATTTTGTTTTGCTTTCTTTTTCCTCCTGTAATGAAAACAACTTCATTGTCTTTCTGCCCCATGCTACAGCCCTTGAAGAATCAAACATTACATACAAACATGACAAAGAAAAAAGTCACTGAGAATCCCACTCTCCTGAAAGAGTTGACTACCCACTGACATTTTAGAGATCACTTTGTCCTGTATCTCTTTATGAACAAGTGCATGTACATCTATGTAAGTTTCAAGGAATGGGACAGTATCATAGACGTTTTATTGTGGATATTCCCCATCATTCTCCTCCCCTCCATTGACATCCCCACCCCAGCCCTGCCTCCTCAACCCCCAAACCCGGGTCAGACATCTCATGTGTCCTGAGCACAGGCCCTAGAGTCAGAGAGCTTCGGTTTGAGTTCTGGTTCTGCCGCTTACTAGTTGTGTGATCCCGGCAAATCATTAACCTCTTATGCCTCAGTCTTTCCTTCTGTAAAATAGGCATAATAATCACACCTATGTCAGATCATTCTGAGGGTTATTCGCTAATTCATGTAAAGCGCTCAGAACAGAGCCCTACACGTAGAGCTCATTAAACAGCAGCCGCGTGCTGCTGTGCTGTTTCTACCGCTGGGTGCCCAGGAGTTGCCAGGCATGGGGGAAGCAACTAAGTATACAAAAACAGTATCTTGTCTTCCAGAAACTTCCAGTCTATATAAGGAAATCAGAAAACAACACATGGAAAGGTAACCAGTTAGAGAAGACTAGATAGTGCAAGGCACGTTAATTGCAGGTGAAGGGACTAGGCCGGGTGCAGCAGAGCTGGCAGGTTGGGGGTGCCAGGGAGAATGACAAACAGCTGATGTATGAATTGGCTCTTTGGGGCCTGACAGGAATTAAGTCTAAGAGCAGAGGGACACCCTCATTATCAAGGTCACGGAGGTGCAGGGACATGAGGCCTTGCTCTCATGGAGGGAGAAGAGGCGAGGACTGGGTGAAAGCAAGGAGCCAGGTTGCCAGGCCCTGACGTGTCTGGCACACCACCCTTCAGCTGCTCTGTGAGCAGATTCTCTTTGCCTCTGTGCCACTGCAGGAACCTTCCTTTCTTCTGGGTAGAATCTTTCATGAACAGAAGAGTTCACCTCCACCAGGCTGCTGTGAGAGGAGAGGTCTTGCCGCCTTCCCACCCTGTCCTCATCATACCTTCCTCCCTTCTCTTGTCCCCAAACAGCGTCAACACTTCTGCATCAGGACGTGGCTAGCGCGGGTCCAGGCACTCCCGCACCAGCAGGGACAGGGTGGGGGGCCCCCAGTCCATCTTCTCATACTCACGACACCTTTGTGTGTGTCGTAAGCATTGTGCAGACTCCGCCCTTTAAGAATGGTGCTTATGTGGGGAGCAGAGCCACTTTGCAGAAAGACTCTCCTCTGTGTCTCCATGGTTCAAGATGGAAGGCTCCCCTCGCATCTCAAGATGGGCTGCTTTCTTGTGTGCCCACACGGTGCCTTTCTTTCTCTCGGGGCGCTGTTCAGCCGGATCCTGGGCAAGGAGCGCTGTGTGCAAAGGGAATTCAAACCAAAGGAGCATCACATCCTCATCCTAACGGGTTTAAATATAAGCGCAATGGTTACCGTATCTCCAGTGCTAGGAGTTTTCATGTT